AAAAAGTATTATGTACTAAGAAATATTATTATTAATTTATTTGTTTCATGCTAATTAAATATTAAAAACAAATATACGCCAGTATCTACTTATAGGTACTTTTGTTAAACTTATAAATACTTTTTGTTCGAGTCTAGAGATCATACTTATTGTCAGGTGGTTCTTCTAGTTCAATATAATTTTCAATGAAAACCCGTTTAGTGGTTTAATCGTAGTATTATTATTGTTGCCCAGTCAAACGTCTTCTTCCTGTTCCCTTATGAGTTGTTATATAACTGATATTAAATTTGTAATGTTTCAATTCTCCTTCCCCCAAAACATCTTTTTCAGATATATAATCTTGTTGGTGGCTTTCGATGGAACATCTTAAGTGCAGTATTTTATTGTCGATTTATTTCAATATCTTCAAATATTGCAAGAACCCACGTTAGCTTCACGAGCTTTAGGCGATAAAACAATATGTTTTAGTGAAAAGTTTTAACACTTTTTTCGATATCGTTAATCACTCAATTAGCGTTTGAGGTTGTATTAACTATCGAGACGGTTGCTTAATTGGAGAAATTTGATTTGTTGAGAATCCAACTCCAATTGGAGAAATTTGAAAGAATTCCCTTTCTAATAATCCATTTATTTGACCATTTTAATAAAAATTTTCAAAATTTGGGATAATTTCTCAAGTTTCTGAAAACACATCGCAAATAGGTATTTTTTGCTTGAAATATTTTTTGTTATTCAAAATCGCTTAATGAGCACATGGTGCATGCAAAATTCGTGAAGATCTTATCAACTTTCTGATACTGTTGCTTAATTAGAAACCAGACTTGAGAAATTTTTAAGAATTCCCCGAGGCACATTTTAAAAGAGCATTTTTAGTGCAAAAATATCTATTGATGCTCTAATTATCAGTAAAAACACGTGAGCTGTATGAGATGCGCTTTACGCCATAAATAATTTGGTGAGTAGCATTTTAATAGAAATTTTCAAATTTTGGAATTTTCGCAAGTTTCTGAAAGCACGATGCAAATAATTATTTTTCGCTTAAAAATTTTTCTAAATATTCCTGTTCGCTTGGTCAGCACCAATATGAGAGCTGCGTTTAAGGACTCATCTGCTATCTGAGACGGGTGCTTAATTTGAATCCAATTGGAGAAATTTTAAATAATTCCTAAGGGTTAATTTAAAAGAACATTTTTAGTACAAAAATGTCTATTAACTTTCTAATAATCAGTAAAAACCTTAGTTAATCTATGGTAAAAACACGTGAGCTGTATGAGATGCGCTTTACGCCGTTAATAATTTGCTAAGTAGCATTTTGATAGAAATTTTCAAATTTTGGGATAATTTCTCAAGTTTCTGAACGCACATCGCAAATAGATAGTTTTTGCTTGAAACATTTGTTATTCATAACAGCTTAATCAGAAATATAATCTTTGCGAGATTTGCTTAATGTCTCATCAAGTTTCTGAGACAGTTGCTTAATTAGAAAACAGATTTGATACATTTCTAAGAGTTCCCCGAGGTATATTTTAAAAGAACATTTATAGTGCAAGAATGTCTATTCATTTTGTAATTATCAGTAAACACACGTGAGCTGTATGAGATGCGCTTTACGCCATTAATAATTTTCTCTAAGTCTTAGTACCATTTTTAATACAAGCTTTTAAATCTTTGAGGACATTTTACAAGTTTCTGAAAGTCCATTGCAAATAATTATTTTTTGTTTAAAACCGTTTTTAAATATTCCTATTCGCACGAATATTAGATGCGGTTTTTATCATTCATTTAGTTTCTATCTGAGAGGATTGCTTAATTAAAAACAAATTAGAAAAATTTGAAAGAATTCCTCAGGGCATATTTAAAAGAGCATTTTTAGTACAAAAACGTCTATTAATTTTGTAATTACCAAAAATAACACGTGGGCTGTATGAGATGCGTTTTACGCCATTAATAATTTGTTAAAGAGCATTCTAATGGATATTTTCAAATTTTAAGATAATTTCTCAAGGTTCTGAAGGCACATCGCAAATAAATATTTTTGCATGAAGTTTTTTTTCGTTATTCATAATCGCTTAACCGATGATCGATTAATGGTGCATGCGAGATTCGCATAATGTCTCATCAAGTTTCTGAGACTGTTGCTTAATTAGAAACCAGATTTGATAAATTTTTAGGAATTCCCCGAGGTACATTTTTAAAGAGCATTTTAAGTGGAAAAATGTCTATTAATTTTGTAATTATCAGTAAACACATGTGAGTTTTATGAGATGCGTTTTACGCCACTAATAATTTTCTAAGTAGCATATATTTTATTAGAAATTTTCAATTTTGGGGATAATTTCTCAAGTTTCTGAAATATATTTATATTATGAAAATATTTTTCGTTATTCACAACCGCTTAATTAGAGCCACGCATGCGAGTAAAAATTAAGTTATATATCTAAAAACAAATGCTTTAGAAAAGGCCAAATTAGCATATTTTTTTTCAAATGTTCCGTAGAAGTGATTTAGTGGCATTGAAATCTATCTACGAATCTAAAACCTTTTTGTGCTTAAATTGCAAATAACTCGAAAACGGCTGTTCTGAGCGACAATAACGAAGTGTTTTTCACTTGGAATATTTTAGTGAAGCAATCGAGTTCTTCCGCTTTGGGCAAGTGGGAAATTCTTGAATGTCTTGGTACAAAACGCGTAAAACTTTTTATTTGGTAGCTGGAATCAGCCGATTTTTTTGGGTCAATGCACTAGTCTTGTAGCAATCGAAGTTTTTGCGCAAAAAAATAATCTCTGTTTCCTTGTTAATTAAAAATTTCGGGCATTAACACTGTAGTAAGTAATAGTGTTCTATAATAAATTAATTGTTAAGCGTTTTATAATTTTTAAATGACCGCCGTGGTCAAAGTCTTGCGGTCATCAGAAATGTTTCGAAAAGAATAAGCGAGTTTAGCAAGATATGGCCCTGACAGCGACAAATCCACAGCAATTTTAATTAAAATCCATCTGAGCGCTTTCCTGATATTACGAAAAAAATTATTTTTGGTTTATTAATGTAAAAAGTTAAGTCAGCAGAAATATTTTTTGCGCAAAAACTATGAATGTTACAAGATTTTGCAAAAATAGCAAACATATTAAAAAAGGTTTAGTGTATCAACTCAAAAGATTACAGTTGATTTCAGCTACCAAATAAAAAGTTCTGGTAGTTTTTCTACAAGACACTCAAGAATTCTTTACTTGCCCAAAGCTGATGAACTCGGTTGCTTCATCAAAATATGAGCCTTGCATAAGAACGAATTCACATCGGACTTCCCTCGATGGAAATCCCTCGAATCATTCTCCCAATATTTCAAAAAATATATTTATATATTTGAGAACTTCGACCATCAATAGAAGAGGAACCAGACATTTTTTTTAGTACAAGTCTGGTCAAATCATCTTCTTTTGATCCTTAGAATGCCGCAGTATTCTTTTGATCATGTGCTTACGGGACACCCTGTACATGGAAAGAACTTTGCGTGCGTACCCGGTATATTAGATTTGGTGTTCAACTGGTTTCAATGTTTGAATCTCCCGGGTTTCCTTGTCGCTCAAATGAATGTCAAAAACATGTCAAAACGGAGAGCGCGCGCATTGCGGAGATCGAAACCTTCGAGAAGGTGGGAAATGGGAACTTCATGTTGATGTTTTGCTTCTCACATCATGAAATCATGAATCACCCCTTCAGAAAATGAGTTGTTTTTCGTGGATTTCCAACATGAAAACATTGAAAATCATCAATTTACGATGATATGAATGCCCTGAAACTATCAAGTAAAACAAATGATTTCCAAACATTCATGTCAGGGAAGGAATTCAAGACGAACATCTTGGAACAGCAGTCACAAAAAATTGTGGAGGAAATTGTGGAATTCTGATCGGAAAATCCGGTACGGCAAGTGATTTTAGGGCTCTAAACATGTGGTAAATAGTTGAATGTAAAGAGGCCATTTTCACCCAACGAAATCGGCCATTATTATCAAATCTGAGTTCATCCGAAGTAAAATGCACTCAATTGCTTAGTTTCGAGGCTGTTTTAGTAGGAATTTGTAGTCAAAACCGCGTTTTAGCAGTACTTTCGACATTTTCAGTGGTCTTTTGGCGGAATTTCGAGTTTCCCTTGTCATCTAGGCGGAGCTGACGCACGAAGCCGCCATCACGGCAACCGACCGAAAAGCGTGTAAAGCGAGTTCGTGCGAAGTGGAGTGTGTGTTGTGGCTCCTTATTTTCATTAATTCTCATGTGTATCAATTGACTAAATACTCAGGTATTGGTTTTTCGCATAGTTTAGAGTCTGGCCTCACTGAAACGTTTGTTCTTTGTAGACGAGGTGAAAAGTTAAGTGTAAAAAAAGTGAAATTAGTTGCGAGCTTCTCGACGATGGCTAACGTAAGTGCCCGCCATGTTGAAAATTTGCCTCAGAAATGATTTTCTCTTTTCTTTGGGCGCCGTTCCGCGTAAAATAGCTTTTTTATGCCGCATTTACGTGCCTATTTATCCGGTAAGTAAAAGGTTAATCGTTCTTTCCCGCGTTCCAACGTCAAAACCAATAGAAACGTTCATGTAGATGCGACTGTTGTTCTAGTGCAAATCGCCGATAACCGTCTCCACCTTCCAATAAAACACTGCTGCCAAGGTCTCTTCTTGCCCAGAAATCGACGTGTTTTGTGCTCAATCGTTTCGTTTGCCCTCAAAAAGCCCCACATATCGTCTGTCCAGGAACGTAAACAATCCCACTTTTCAGTTCGCTTTTGTCGTACGTGACGCCAGTTCCAGGAGAATTTTCGCCAGTTTTCAACGATTCTATGAAGGTTAGATTACAGGACGTGAAATTGTGATGCAAATCCATTGTTTGTCTAAAAGGGGGGTGTGGCGCCAAACCAAACAACATTTTTCCACAACTGCTCCAATTAGCGCTCCTCTACCGAATTATTTGGGCTTTGGCTAGTCATTGTCCTTTTAGCCCTAACAGGCCCAGGGCTCCACTTATTTCCACATCAATAAGTCAACAAATGTTCTTCAGTCCAGTTTCTTTACTTAACATCCTAAATATATGCTAATTGGTTATTAATGCCCATCTCAGCTTCTCTCTAAGCTTTCTTTAATTGACTCTCAATTAGCTAGATGGTAATGGCAATGGGATAGATCTAAAAGATGGTAACTATGCCAGAAAATATATAATATGGTAAATACCACTAATTCACCTAATCTAACATTCAGGGGTCATTAGAAAATTTAGTTTGCTTGCAAGGGGGTGAAGTAGATGTGGATTGAATAACATGCTCAAACTCTCTGAAAATAAAAAATGCACTTTTGGCATTCATCGTTAGGGTCGTTTGGTTAATTCGTACCTATCTCGTTTCTGAAACTTTATAATCTTCGTATTTTCATCCCGTTTACTCGAAGGAAAACCGTATACAATAAGCCGACCACGATAGAATGTGAAACGCTTTTTTAGAAACACTCGTACCAAAAGCACATTGTTTTTACCTATGAACTAGGATGAACTTAACGCAAATTATACCTCGTTTTATTCAATAAATGTATTTCAACAAATGACTACTTACCTGCGTTGTTTATTGTAAACATGATAACCTTTTCCTTTTTAATATCTAATAGTTGCGCAATTTTAAAATATTTAACCGTAATACACATCGAAATTAAGTAAACAGCAGCGTAATTAACATAACGGTGGTGAGAATCGTCTCACTATGCGCTCAACTCACAGTACGCATTTTAACTGTAGCGTGTGTGGACCGTGGACTGAGCTCATACTCAATCTGAAATTCTAGTCTTTATCCCGCGAAACTTTGATTCAGGTCTCAACTTCTCCCCTTACCAGACCCAGTCCAATAATAGAAATGATCTATTCTATTATCTGAAAGAATCTCTCAGAATGGTTTACACATTCATAACTCAAACTGCCGTAGTTTCAATGGTACTTGCACATAAACATGTCGAATTAGTCTGGATTGTCCTAATAAAAAGCCTTATTTTAATACGAAATTGTTCTAGTAGTATTCGGAAAATAGTGCACTAGAGCTTTAAATCTCTTCAATTGCAAACTTTGAAAGCCGGCTGTTTTTGCGAAAGCTCGTCGGTGTCCTTAAAATAAAAGCAGCTTCCAGATATTTTTCTATGTAAATTTCGGCTGAATTGATGTTCATATTTTTTGGCCAAATTGAGTAGTTTTATCAAATATTCGAGCCAATTTACATAAATCCATTTGGTTCGCATAAAAATCGATCGCAGATAGTGGACTAGGTACCTATCGATATATTTTTCCATTTGCTTCAACAAACGTATCATTTGCACCTTTCTACTATCTATTTGCACCACCTAGTTCAATGTAAACTCGCTCAAATCAATTGTCCTCAACTTCAAGGCATAATTTATATGCACGATTACTGGGCAACAATCAAACTTCAATTGGATTTTATGCTACTAAGCTTGACTCATAAGTAATGTGCTTTTTGCATGTACAACATAGATACCGTTGGTTTTATTGATAATCTTATTGATTGCGATCTTATCGACACTTGCAGTTTTATTTGATTCGCTAGTGGCACAATCTAACAAATATATCGACGAACTATCGCTATCAACGAATGCATAATAATAGTGGTCTTGACATTGATTCGTTTAATTTCACCTATAAGTGTTACTTTTCTTTTTAGAAACAACATGCAATGAATCTTGCTTAATGCAGAATTGTCCTCAACATGGAATATCCTCTGTGCTCCCTAACTGCTTGGACCATGTCTTGATAGGCCCAAGTGGTGTTACTTTGTTTATCTAGTAAGAACATTATAGCACAATAAAGTTGATTCAATACACACACGTTTTGCACTGTTTGTATAAACCACTCACCCCATACCGCTTTCATTGTTTAAAAGCTGAGTTATTCGAATATTAATATATGGATTTTTTTTCAGATTCAGGAATTATAAAAGTTGCTAACCGGGGGCAATGCAACAAGTTGATGCTACTGCCTCTAACAATACAGGAAAAATGAATGAACAGGCATCAGCAGGAAATGGGTCTGCAGCAGCACCTCCTCAATCTGCCGCTACTCCGGCACGAGACAACCGCGAACCTCCGCCAAGAAATGAACCTGCCGTTGAACCTGTTAATGGTGTGGTGCAACCTTCAGTCATGCCACCACCAGAAAGGTAATTACCTTCTTTATCATGCCTTGTGGCTATAAATGAGTTGTCATCCAAACTCTTTTTCAAAAGTTTTTGACCAGACAACTCAATTATCAGCTGCAATTTGGCAAATTAACACAATCGATGGAATAAGTTGTTTTGATCTTTCGATCTTCACTTTTTATTACAATTAGAATTTAGGTTCATTTGCAATGTTATGTGATCTCTTAAATTAGTTCTATCTAATTCTGATAGATACACATTTGCATTTAGTATAAAATTTCCAAACAGTTGGCTGTCGCAATGGACTTTGACACTGTTCTTTGGTTTAAATATAAATTTATTGTTGGTCTGTTGTTACAGGCCTGGAAGGGTTACCAACCAGTTGCAGTTTTTACAAAGAACGGTCCTGAAGGCAGTTTGGAAGCACCATTTTTCATGGCCATTTCAGCAGCCCGTTGACGCTAAGAAACTCAATCTGCCGGTAATTTTTTTTTATTAAAGTGACAATCCTTTGAAATATGTATATTTGGTTGCAAAAATTATTGATATTTATTAAATAATAATATTATTTGCTTCGTTTGCTATGTACGTTATAATAACTTTTATAAAATTTGTCTTTTCTGGCTATATAGAATGTTACAAAATAATCAAAAAATTTCTTTAGGATTATCACAAAATCATCAAGCAACCCATGGATCTCGGTACTATAAAGAAGCGCCTGGAAAACAACTATTACTGGTCAGGAAAGGAGTGCATTCAGGATTTTAATACAATGTTTACGAATTGTTATGTCTACAATAAGCCCGGCGAAGATGTTGTCGTAATGGCTCAGACATTGGAGAAGGTACTTCAACACTTTAACGTAACCATCTAGCAGTCCTTAATAAATGCCTTCATTTCAGGTCTTCCTAACGAAAGTCGCGGATATGCCTAAAGAGGAAATCGTGGTCGAGACGCAAGGAAAAGGAGGAAAAGGAAAGAAAGGTCGTGGAACTAGCGGCTCTTTACTTGCAACTCCATCAAGAGGTAGGCCTCCTGCTACTGTATCATCGACAGTCGCAAATCCTGTAGCCACAACAACGGGTAAGTCAGTAAAATAATTTTGAGGAATTGATCAGCAAACGGCAGTGTTTGACAAAAGCGACCACACTATGTTTGGAAAGAAAACTCCTCTGTAAAATTATATTAGTTACGGTAACACAAGTTTGCGTTAGATTTCGTGAATTAAAAATTTCAAACCTTGGCTTATAGCAAAGAAGACAATTTAAGATACGATTTCCCATGTCAAATTTAATCGGGAGGATTTTCTCAGCAACTGCTGTTTGCAGCTCATCTCTTTTAATTGAAGCTTATTTGAAGATGAAGATATCTCATTTAAAGTTTAGTTGTTTATGGCGTAAATTCAATATGGCAATAGTCACATCTGCCTAGCTGAAAATAGCTGCGATTTTATTTATACTTTAAGACTGTTGGATATCGTACATTGTAACAAGTAAGTTATGAATACAATTGGACTGAAAAAGTAAAGTCACATCTGCCAATTCAGTGGTACCTACAGACCCTTGGAAAATTTAAATCTATTTTGGGGTCCCTGATAGACGTCGGATGGCCCGCGCAAGGTTTAATATAAAATAGAATATAACTTTTTTGGAAGTAGACAAATTCAGAGCACAAATGCAGATGAATGCATTTATACTAATTCAGGAGCAACTTATTGAATTATCCACAAATGAGCAAGTGAAACCAATGTTTATGATACGACAATTTCTGGTTACAAAAACATATTCCAATTTTATATCCAGCATTATGCGTTATTGTATTGCCTTGCCTTGATTACATTTCCGTCTTCGTATTTGGTAGAACGTGAATTCAAGGCCGCTATGAACGAAAAAGAAACCGTCTAGAAATTAGTACTCGTGGGATATGCGATTGCTACTCACGAAAATTGATCCGGACATAATACACATAACATCCCATCAGGTTCATCCAAGTCATTAATTTTATAATTTATTATGACCATTTATCCATTAAGCCTTCAAAGTTAAATTTTCAGTTTTAGATCCAATATCTATCTGAGTTTTGTCAAGACGGATATTTATTGAGTGCATAAGTACAGTAGTTGCTATTATCTGATTAGTAATATACTGTATTTATCAGGGTCTGGCTGTTTACCTTTGGGCAACGCAGCTCCAACAACGGTGCCTTGCAGTACGGCCACTCCGACGATAGTGGCCCCAAACAACTCCCAAGTAACTCCCATTATTCACAATGCAGCCGCTGCGTATGGGGCTCAAGCATTAGATCAACCTATGCCTGCATTAGGTGTTGTCCCACCAATACAGCCGGCCAAAAGTAAAAAAGGCGTGAAAAGAAAGGTATGTTTCATGTACTAGTTTGGAATTTATTATGCGCCTACCGCTCAACCTCTCAAAACAACAAAATCTACTTTATGTTTGTCGCCTGTAGGAGCTTAACACTTTGTGCGCCGGTGCCATTTAAAGGTACCGTCTTTTTCGACCGGCTTTTTTCATTTTCATGGCATAACATTCAACTGAACACACGCTACACAAATGCTATCTTCTGTCCTAAATACGTTAAAATGCATAGAAATTGTATACAGAGAATGTGAGAGTGTATCATTTAGAGTGGTATTGTTCAAAACAAGTGCCTCTATGGAGCGAAACACTTCTCTGCTTTATGATTTGTATGCATTGAAGGGCTTTTGGGCCCATCTTAAGTTCGGGAATTGTTGGAGAAATGTGAATGTTTTGGCTGAATGTGAATATAATGACTGAGATGGGCTCACCCAGTTTCTGGCTACTTCATGCAGGACGGTTTTACAGTATTCCTCAGACAAATCGATTAGACTTACGAAATCAATGTGTAAAGCGTCGAGTACGATCAAGGAAATAGTTCCTAATTAATACACAGTGTGAAGAAGCCCGAAGATTGATGATAAACACCTAGTAACAAAACGCACCACAAAGTGTTACGTATGTTTTGTTTAGGCGGACACAACAACGCCCGCTACTGCGTACGATTACTTGCCGTCTGGCGATGGATCCAATTCCTCGTCGTCGGCTAGTAAGATTTCCAAGAGGCGTGAATCTGGTCGTCAAATCAAAAAGCCAGTACGCACTCAGGTATGTAAAGACCTGAATACAGGGTGATTCAGAATTGGCGTCATTCCTCGGGGGGTGTTTTGGGAGTACAAGAAAAAAAGTAAAAAAATTAATTGTTATTAATAACTGAGATGTTTGCAAAAATGAACAGAAGGATGGCAACAATGTTTTTTAAGGTACTCTGCCTCATTAACATTACATACCTGTTACTTCTTAATTATTTCGAACTGTAGTAACCATTGGAAAACACAAACACAACAAAGGGAAAAATGGGAATTAAATATTTCTAGCTTAGGATAACCTTGTCAGTGCGGGCAACATTTTTTGTTTAGAAGTGGTGTACCTGAATCCGCCATAGATGCAAAGAATATTCGCGAGTTCAACTATCGATGGGGGCCCTGCGAAACCTCAAATTACTCGTTGTCGGGTAACAGTTGAGACTTGTCAGACTTGCTTATTTATTGGAGTTGATGACATTTATAACATCACACAATACTTACACACTTTTCGATCTCTTTCTATTTCGTTAAAAGTTTGCAAAATTTGATTAGAACCAAGCGAATTCGCGAGTTCAAAAGTCCAGACGCCCTCCTGGTGGCTAAAATTATAACAAGTTAAGTAGAAATTTGGCACTTGCTTTGTTCTAATCAACTTTTGCAAGCTTTTAAAGAAATAGAAACAGATTGAAAAGTGTGTTTGTATTGCTTTATGTTATAAATGTCATCAACTCCGATCAATCAAAAAGTCTGACACGTGTCAACTGTCATTCGAGAACGAGTAATTTGACGTTTCGCGCAGCGCCTCCATCGGTCAACTCGCTAATAGGGGAGATGTTCTGTGCATAGATGTCATGATGTCAACACTACAAACAACATCAATAAATAAAATTCAATTAAGTTGTTAAGGGCCAACTGCATCGCTTCGGCTTAGGAGTTAAGTGGAACTTAGTAATTTAAGTTGACTGCACCGCATTTTAAGCGTCACGTAAACCAGTCTAAGTGGCACTTAGCCTAAGCTGTACTCGCGGTTCGGCTTAGCCATAAGTGGGACCTATACGCTATAGGATTTATTTATTTTTTTAAATTCGGCTTCTTTAAGAGCAATGTCTAATTGTAAGCATTTTACTTTTAGAGAATGCTCTGCTTCTTCTCGCTCTCTTTTACGGTCTGCCGCTTTCATTTCTCACGTCCTTAATAATTTCATTACAAGGGTCCTGGGAAGGTGTAAATGCTGCACCACCGCCGGTCTGTATTATCGATTTTTTTTCTTGGGACACAACCATTCGGTCTTCTTTTTTTTTAAATTTTGTAGCTCTTCCGCAAAGATTCTTTACTGCGGAAGGCTTTACTTGGTGACGAGGCGTTGAAATCGGCAGCGATCTTACTCCAGGCACTGTCTTTTCCTCTCCACGTGCACGAGTCAGTTTTCTTGTTTTCGATTATCCCTTTATAGTCTCGGCATATTTCTAATAACCGATATTTCTCCTGATTGGCATAATTGGGAGTGCGCATTATTTTTGGTGATTTAGTATTTTCCGATTTCATTGGGTATTCCATTTAATTTAATTT